TCCAGTTTGAGGTATCATTTCTGATTTTGAAGTATTATTTGATGTTTTAATGCAAATAGAAATATAAATTAGATGGATATTAAATTAGCTTTAAAGTTAAGAAATGTCAGTAATTCTACCAAGTAGGTGTTTGCTAACATCTAAGTAAGTTCTTATTATTACTTGCATTTGGCTGATGAAACTATGGAATATCACAACACAAAACATGCACCTAAAGCAAACAAGTTCTGTGCATGCATAAATTGTGTATATAAAACTTAGGGGGAAAAAATAGGGCTACCTCCATTCACAGTTATCTTTGTTTCTGGAAATTGATTTCTTGAGCAGAGCTATGGAAGATTTATAAAAATGATTGCTATATCATGGTCTGTTTTCCCATTTATCACATGGGCTTGAAAGCAAAGGCAAGCCCATAAATGAGCAAGAGTTAAGAGCAATCATCCTTTCAGAAAACAGGACTCCCAAGTATTGCATTGCTAACAGTCAATATTAACTAAGAAATGTTATTAACGAGTCCTTTTCTCAGTAGAGCTATAAAATATTTTTTTACTGCATAATGGAAGAGAGGTATATAGTTTTCTGAAAGTTTGCATCATTCATAGCATATTTTATAAAAGCCACTTGAATGTTCAAGAATATTATAAATTAATAACAATAGTGTATCTGTACAGATACATTAATGAATTAATCCAAAAAGTTAACTACATTTTTAAACAAAGTTAAGTACCATTGCAACAGTTCTATTAATTCTGCTCAGATCGAATACTCAACTTTTGAGGAAAACTCTCAAAGATAGAAAAAGCTAGAAAAAAAGTTTGTGGATTTTTTTTTAAAAATTCCATAGGACTACTTCCACCAAAAAAAAAAAAAAAAAAAAGCCACAACTGACATAAATATTTAGATAATAGCTAAAATAGTTTTTTAATGCACCCTTAAAACAGGCAAAACTTGCTTTTCTACAGTAATTGCACTAGTTGGGCATAGATATCTCTATGAGTATGAACTCATGCTCACTGCACTAGCACTGAATTTTGATGCTCAGTTTAAAGCAAATTATGGGGGATTTATCTTTCCATAGTGGTTAGCTATTTTAGGAAGTAAACATTGCCAAACTGAAACCAGGATCATTCTTCTAACAGGCATTCACCTAGAAACTTACATCTAACATATTGCACCTCTTGCTTTATTTAAATTCTATAAATGCCCAAATTTTCTAAACTGGTTCATAATTACTTCTGTTGTAGTAATGATCTCATTTCTTGGAATCAAAATAGTCACTTTCCCCCTAATTTCTATAAAGGTACACGAAAAGATGGTAAAAATATATTGCTTTGGCATAACTGTTGCTGGGAGAGGATGAATATCTATCTTACCACGTTCGTCAGCAGGCTGTACCATTTATATTTCGCTGTAAAACAAAGAACTATTACATGTTGCACAAATATGCTCGATATTTTGTTAATGCTTCACCCTTCCTACTGTAACACTGCCTATACCCGTACTTACTTCCTTATCAGCAATATGTGATTTTCAAGAGTAATGTTCATACCTGGCTGACATATGATAGAAAGGCAATAAAGCCATTGCTAGGTTCAGCTGAAGCTGAATTTATGGCACCATTTTGGATCCACGCGCATTGCCCCCTGTCAGTACCTGCGTCTCACATTTTCGACCACTAGATGGGGTGAAAAAATAAAAGAATTGCCAAGGATTCCTGCCGACTGCCACAAAATCCAAGTATTAATGTAGTGGCTTTGAAAATATTCTTGAAGGAAAGTCTTGACCCACTTCAGGATGGTTAGGCTCACTTTTCCTTTGGTTATATATTCGCTTACCAGACAAAGAGCTCATAAACGGTCAGACCTTGAAACTGAATCAAGTGGTGGGTTAAGATGGATAATTCTCTGGCACTTTCCCCTCCGAGGACCCTAAATTCCGAGCTGACAGTAGTGGCCAACACTCATTTTTCTGAAAAAGCTGTAACAATCTTTAAGCGAAACAGGGCTGATTTTTCTGGGCTGTATTTTGGAGGAGAAATCATTCCCAGAGAGAGAGGCTGTATATATCTGGAGGAGCAGCAAGCCTGTTTCAAGGACCGATTACGGATTAATCATGGCACGACAACAAGACAGCTGATATACAGAGGACAGCTTAAGCTACTGTTTTTCTATTCTGCTCCATTTTTTTAAATTAAATTTCTCACTCTTTTGGAGAAGGAGTAGCAAACAATTTCTTTCACTTAGAAGATTAAGATTTTATAGCTCCCATACCATACCTGGAGTGCACAACTCACAAAGAAGCCAAACTCATACAGTGGAATTTGTTTGCTCATGGGCTTTTTGGGGGGGTATGAGAGGGGGAAGAGATGGTTATTTGAAATTAATACTCTTCTTCAGTGCTGTGTAACTGCTTGAAAGTTTGCCTGATCCAAGAGTGTTATTCAGCCTTTAGTAATGAAATTCACTTATTATCTTAAGTGACAATGAAATACCTTAAAGACATACATGGTCAAATTCCTATTAGTAATATAACTTCTATATCTTTATACAGGACTATCATTGTATTGATAAATCTTAAATTTATTTTAAACAGAAGCTGTTACCTTTATTATCCAGAAATGTAGTTAAAAGCATTACTGAAAATTTAAAGCAATTGTAACACAACTTAGAAGTTTTAAACTGAGACAAACAGATGCCTTTAGCTTTCATGCACCTACTTTATATTTCAATGACCTACACTACTTTTGGCAGTGATTACACAATATATACATTTTATACATATTTTAAAAGGTGTTTGTTCTCAATGTGAACTTTTAAAGCTCAGCGCTTTTTTCTAATATTTAGAGGAAACAGAAATTTCCTTTGTTTAATCATTCAGAAGTAGACTTCAATGGACCATGATATCTGTATTTCAGGAGAGGTTTTGGTTTGGGGGGGGGAGGGTTAAGGGAAAATAAGAAAATTAACCGACATTAATGTATAATAAAATTTCCTGCTCATACTGCTTAGCATCACCTCAGATAAGAAGAATTATATTTCTCGTTTGCTTCACAAACAGGAAAGCAGCAAATTAAAAATTGCCCAAATCTGTCAGAGCAAACAAATTTGGAATCTGAGCTGTCAGAACAATTACAGTATCTATGCAAAGATGAAAGCATAGTTCAAAAAAACAAACAATCTTCTGCAGCAAGATCCCAAAAAGTCAGAATCAGCACAGTCAGGAATATAAAACAGGAAACAAAAAACATAACTTACAAGATAACTTAAAATTCTACAAGGTTAACTTTTACAAGCAGAAAACACATTGTCTCCTGTTAAATCAGTTAACAAATGGTAGCCAGGATTTAACAAGTAAATAAACATGCTTTCAAGCTAATTCCTGTTACACGACTATGTTTTAAATGTGATTATAGTTCATTTGACAAAATAATTAATTGCAGTGAATATCTGATTGCAAACAAAGGATCTGAAAGGGAGTGCCAATTTCCCCCCATAGAACTGTGGGAATGTGCCTTTCTGCCATGAGTCTCTTTTTACAACTATGTAGCCCCAGTAGTACCTCGTACCTTGCTGACAATGTAGATAACATCACCATATTTGAATGTCAATTCATCAGGTGCATCTCCTGTGCAGTCCCACAAACCTTGATAGTAATTGGCATAATCGATCTCTTCACGATCTGCAAAGAAAACAGCATCTAATTACAAAAGCATGAAGACTGAGGGACTAAAGTTACTCTTTAAATCTCCAGACAGTACAAAGAAATTTATTAGCACACATTTCTTACTTCTCTTTTTAAAAATGGCTCCTTCATACCGCAAATGCAAGTGGAAAACAAGTTTAATGTGCAAGCCCCTCACTGGCAAGTTGCATCACTTAAGAGACATGTAGCTACAGGTTTTCAAAGCATTTTCTAGATGCAACTTAAAGCAGTTAGTTTTCCTCTACTAATATATTTTCAGCAATCCATATATGTATCTCAACTTGAAACTGATAAAATTACTAGGATATAATTAATAATAATGCAAATAAGCCAAAGTATTTTGTGATATGCTCCCCCTTCCTCCCCTGTTCCAACAAAACTAAATAGCTTCTCTGAGAACCTTTTTGATAATCCTTGATTGTTCCTTCTGAAATATTGGAGAACTTGGAAACTGTTGCTGAAGCTGCATTTCAAAAATATTTGTGTCAGCTCCAGTTTAGGACATTAAGTCTGGCTAAACGTGCAACTACACTACAGTCATAAACTCATCCTTCTAACAGCATAAGCACAATGGATGTGCTGTGTTCAAGCTGCCATACAGACCATTAACTGATTGATTATTTAGCACTCGTTGCTCTGTAATACGGCAATAACACAGTAATAAATGCTTTGTCATACATTTACAACACAGAGTACATCTATTGAAACACAGTGCTCACACACGGTTAAATACACTGGGTGCTTCTGTTACACTGCAAACTATTTCCTGTTTTTAATTCCATGAGAATGGAGTGTGATGAGTTAATGCAAAAAGAATGTAAGCAATACCACTAAGATGACCAGTTACATTATGTATACACTAACCAGACAGAATGTATATGTACTAATAATTTACATCACTGGAAAGCTATCTTCTAATTCTGATAACATAAATATCACTGAACTGGCTGGATCAAGGCTGTCAACTTAGTTTTGTTATATGATCCTTGAACAGCAGGCTTGCTGGTTATTCCAACGTATACCAGTTACATTTGCATGTCGTTAGCACTCTACACCATTATTTATAGTTTACAATTTAATCATGATTGGTTCACTTTATTACCAAAAAACATCCTGCTAAAATATCAAGTATTAAGTGATAGAAAGCATCATGCTATAAAAAAAAAAAAAAAAAAAAAAATCAGTATTCGACTCGTGTTCTTCCCTATTTTGGCAAATACTTAGATTTGAGTTTTAATACTCTCTGTATGTGCAAGAAGAACTTGTTTTCTGTTTATCCATTTCACTCTGTGTTCCGTGCTATCTTGTTTGGATGGCAATACTGTCATAAGGCTGAATATTTGCAACCTTGAATTAAAAGCTGCTTTGCCAGTTACCCACCATTTAATTTTCCATAAACTGGTGATTAGGAGCCACAACTCACTATATAGCACTAGGGGGAGTTCTGGCTGCCAGTGTCCAAATTCTTCTGTCCTCACCCCAAAAGCAGTAATAGATACACATATAAAAGCTCCCAACCATTCAGAAATAAGATATTTTGTTATTTTGAAATGCATACAATCATTTCAAGAGGAAGACCAAATCAGTTTAAAATGCTGCACCTCCAAATTTTGGCCCTTCTTATTTTTCATCTCATTATTTGCCAATTTAGCATTAAACAATTAGTAACACAGGGTAGCACAGAATTAATTTGTGATAAATATTAAATCAGAATCTCTCCTTGGTTTTTTGATACTGCACTGATCAGTTTCCAGCTCTATCTTGTAAAAGATAACATAAGCCCACATGAGAAAAAACTAGAAGAGCTATTTCAGTATATCCCACATTTCAAATCTTCCAGTAGTTGGCTTATTGATTTGGTTTAAAATACATTAATCAGGACTTTCGCTTCTTCAGAACTGTACTGAAGGAAATGATGACTTTTCACACTGACCTTTGCAAGTTTGAGCTCTGTTCTTACCTTTATGTGCCTGAAGTAACTCCTGTTAACACTAATGGGAGCTGCAACAGCAACAGAAGAGACTCTACAGAGGGTGGGACACATCTCTCCCTGTATGTTCATCACATGCATTTAAGTCTCAAAGTGGGAAGGCAACTCAACTAATAACGTGACAACACTGGAAAGGATGCATTTTAAAATAAGCTTATTGCAACAGAGAAGATATTGGCCAAAGACTAACCATGGCTCTCTGTCCTCATTTGTGAATTCAAAGTAAAACAGGGTTGTTTAAATTAGAAGGCCACATTTTTTGGAAAAACATACACTAGTATACCAGGAGCACAGAAACAAAAAAACAAGGAAAGAAAGTGGCAGTGTAAGTTTGTGAACAACTATGTTGGTCTTTGAACAAGTGTTGATTTTAAATTCAAAATTACCCCAGCACAAATTTCTCCAAATACTATAAGGGCAACCACACACACGTAATTGTAAATGTAGCTGCAGACTTTATACATCTAAAGTGAAAAATGCTTCATAAAATGATTCATAGTGCTTCACAAACACAGGGGTAGCATGAAAAAAAAAGCTGCAAAAACCTCTGCAAAACACAAGCCCATTCTTTCTTACTTCAGTCCCTCTTTCAGTTTGAGAAGACCTTGCCCAATTTCATTTTATTGCCTCTGAAGAATGGTATAAAATGAAAACAGGAGGCCTGAGTAAAGGAATTTGGTATTTAAATGGTAATGAAATAATGTGAGGTTTTTAAAACACATGTAATACCTGAAATGGATTTATCATCAAGAACATATGTGCCCATTAGAGTTCAAATTGAAAAGGTATTGATTTGCTGGCATTACTCTGGCACAATTACACTCTATTCTCATACACTGTGAAATGTCATGTGCCTTAAAAATACTATGATGACATAATTGCTAAACTAAAGCCTGTGGTATTTGGAAGGTACAGTCACTTAGGCCACAAATATGAACAAGACATGATAAAAAATAAATAAGTGTGTAGCAGAGGGTAGAAAGCCCTTTGTTTTTACCTATCCACTGCTTTTAAGATTACCAATCACAAGAAGTGCGTGAGCAGGATTTTGGCTAGCTGTTTCTCCAGAAAATACTTCTTTCATTCCAGGACAGCTATCTGGATGAGCAACAATCCAACAGTTTTTCCTCATGATTTTTTTCTGCCATCTCTGTTTTTCCAGTAACAGTAATAGGAACAGATATTTTTGTCTAATATACTGATGAAAACTTCAGAGTTTATTTGACAAATCAAAGGGCAATAGCTGCCACCCTCTCTGACAGTAGGCTCAGACTGCTTATTTCACTGAAAAATACTGGCAATACATGCTTGAAGAAAGAAAGGTGAACAGTTCAGGAAAAAAAAAAGTGACAAATATATCACTCAAGCATGCACTTCAAATATTAGACTGTTTAAAACTTAAGAATGCCCATAGATTACTCAAGGGGAAAAATTATAATAATATTCTAACAATCTCAATAGAAAGAGAAAAAGAAAAAGAAAAACCACAACTGGAAAAACAGATTAAGAGTAAATATTTCAGAGGGATTTAAGTGTGCTGTCCCACTGCAGCCTAAGCCAATCTAACTGCAGGCTGTTCAATTCCTACCCACTATGTTGTGACAGTTTTGGCACTTGCCATTTCTGAGCACAAATTTGACAGAACACTAAACTGACCGAAACAAAAGCACAAACTACAACCTAAATATGAAAATGCAATCCTTAAAATATGGCAATAAATGTGATTGTGTTTGATTTCCATCAGTCTTCCAATTTAACATTGATGGCATCTAAGTGAGCAAACTCTACTACAGTAGTGATTTAGAGCTAGTAGTTATGTTATTGGCTTACACATTGCTTGTGGAATGAAGGAATACATGTGTATGTTTTCCTTTCACAACCATGGTCCACTGCCTAGTATATTAAGCAGTTTGCCATTCTGATTCACATTCCTTGGCTCTTGATAAGATTCATCAAAAGTTAATAGCATCAGATTTGAAGATTACTTAACACTATTTGAAAAAGATTAACTGTATTCCCTTTTGGTGATGTGCTCAATATTTACCGTACTGAAGGCTCAAAGATGGAGATACAGGTGAAGTTCAAAATTCATGCTACCTGAATGATTGTCATATGTGAGTGATTTAGACTTTTGGTGTTGAGTCTCAATGCCCAGACAAGACAAACCAAGTTAAAGAACATAGTCATTCGTTAGTTCTGATGATGTTCTCAACTGCAAAAAAAAATGCCTCTTACTTGCCTTTTTTTCCCACATGCCAGAAAAATTATGAAATAAGGGCAAAATATTTGTACTGTATTTGAACTCTAAACTAGCCCAAGCTGTTCAGTATAATCTTTCTCACTTTCCTTCTCCTACTGTTCCTTAGTTACTTTAAAACCAACATATTTACACTGATACAGCGCAGAACATGACACTTATTGAAACAGTGATTGTGGAAATGATAATGGGTAGATAATCATAGCAAAAAAGAACCAGCAAGCAATATTACATACCTGAAAGTTTTCAGTGCTTTGGTATTTTTAACTAATTAGGTCACTAGCAATTAATATAAAGCTATCCAGCAGCAACAGTGAACATCAAGATCAAGGGAATAAGTCTGCAAGTTAATTGAAGTAGATATATGTTAGGGCAAGAAAAGAGTAGGGAAAAAAATGCTTCTTTGCATTTATCAGGCTGAGTTCACAGACAATTTGCAGAATATTTGCTGTGAAATTCAGGTTTAATAAAGCTAGGCAATAAATTAAATTTAAGAATGCATGCACTATTTGTGTGGAAGATCATGAAATATTCTAAAGTCAAGTCAGATATTTATGATGTGATGCCTATCAGAAATAGTCATGTCAACTGAGTCCTAAAAGTCAAATAAATTTCCAGTGTTAAACAATGAACTATGTAAGATCAGATCAGAAAATTATTGCTTGAAATGAATCTGATATCTGGGGGGAAACTGCTATGACATTTTCAAAGATACTACACAAATACTAGTAAGATTGTTAAGGCTGCTCTCATAGTAGTTCAAGCTTTACAAAAATGTAAATGCTAAGGTTTTGATTTCTTAAACGTATGGCCAATTTGAACTTCAGGAAGATATAGGAGTGAAAAAATCCCAGTGCTTTTGGCAACTTCATAATTGGATTGACCCTGCGCTCCATTATGACAACACACTCGTATAATTACAGTAATGTCTAAATAAGTACTAAATATTAAGGCTGTAATGAGTCATGTTGTTTTACACATGTTTTTAGCAGAGCACAATGCTAACAGCATCTGATGACTTGGTTCTTATTTCCTTTCCAAGAAAAGCAACCCAAAACTCCTCATAGCAACCTGTTCCTGCTTTCCTGTATGGGTCAGGAAATCAGGCCTCTGTTTCCTCTCCACATGTTGCAACAGGAAGAGCACTGCAGAGCTACTTCCTAAAGGAACTCTTCTTGCCCACCCCTTCCTTGACAGCCCTGAAAGAATTATGTGTATTATGTACGATGGGGGAAGGAGAGCCAGATTGCATATCAGTGCAGGTCACAGTTACAATGCAGCAGATCTCAAAAAGGTGTAAGGTCTGATAAGAAGTGGGTCTTCTCTACTTGCTGTGTCAAATCACCAGTAGTTTATCTAAAGGTCCATGCCCTTGAAGCACAAATATATCTTGTTTTTAAGCGTAAGTGGAAATACCTTTCTGACAAGAAAAGTTGTGTGACCATGTGACTTTACATGGTGTATGCAGTTATTTTTCTAGTCCCAGAGATAATTAGCACAAGGGCAATTTGCCAAGCTAAAGCTGAGAGAATATCCTTCACAGCCTTTCTGGGCATTTGTGTCCTTTTCCAATTTTTATGCTGCTGTCACTGGACTCTGGCATTTCTTACCCAATTCATTTGCTTTCTGTGGTAATCATATGCAATGAAGATATGCATGGCCAACATTTAAACAGGCTGCAGATCAATTAGTGGTCTTAAGTTTATCTGATTTTTATCAAAGAAGACAGAGCTTTGGGTCGATTGTCAGAGCCTGTGTCAAGTTGACCTTTTCAGAGACGTCTACATTGCCAGTCCCTTGGGCAACTTGTTGTCCCCTGTTAGTCTCTGAATGGCAGAAGTCTGTTCTGCTCAAGCACAAAGTATACACAGATGTCTATATTACATTCTTATAGGTTTGACAGCAACTGCATGTTGTATCTATAAACTGTCCTTTAGCAGTGACACTTCCTCAATGATGATAAGCTAATTTATGCAACTAAATCTCCTTTGTGCAGAAATGAAAGCTAATTGAGTCATTACAAAGTAATTCAGGAAGGAATACCTTGTATAAATTGGCTTACTTTATAAATCCTTCTCAAGTGGTTTTCATGCATCCTAAGTGGTGCTAAGCAGTTTTGCTGCCATCACATACCCAGGTAAAAAAGACAGCTTTACAGAGCTGTAAAAACATTATTTTAAAACAGCGAATGGAAGAGACAAGAAAATAAAGGTTAAAAGAAAGTGCACACACAAAATAAATAGGAAAGGTTTTAATTACCTGAATCAGTGGTAACGTTCTCCTGGCTCTCTTCTCTTGGCACTTCATTCTCTGAAGGAACACGTTCTTCTGCAAAACACATAACTGCAAATGAAACCCTGAAGGGACACCTCAGCTGACAGGAATTACAGCCCACATCATTCTGAAACCCACACTCTACATTTCCAGATTGCAAGCCCTGTTTACTATTTTGCATTTATACAGAAGTTAGAACATTGTTATTTCTGTAGTTTCCCCCACTCACCCAAACACTTCAAGAGCTTTCTTTCAGAATTTCAGTTGTGAACATCTGTTTCCCTTTTCACTCTGCTCTGAATGCAGTGATATAATCTGCTGTTTTTCAGTCATTCCAAGACAATTAGAATGAGGGTCCTCTTCTCCTATGTACATTTCTTGCCAGGATAAAGAAAATGAAACCAAGGATTGAAAAAGTATCCCCAGCCCATGCAAGAACTCAGTTTTTAAGAGAAGAGAAGGCAGAGGACATCTTACCTGTCATACAGACACACTATCTTGACACCTGCATGATGGGAACACAGCCACTATAGATGCCATACCTTCACTGCTCCTGCCCACTGTGCCTGAGCACAGTTTTAAGCAAGCCAGACTGTATCAAATAACTTTGTGCAAGTTTAAGAGACAAGAAAAGAGAAAGCCTGGCAGCAATCAGCTCTGAAGCATGTTTTCTGGCTAGCAGGCTTGGAACACTGAAATCCCCACCAGCAGTTTCAAAAGATGTGCTCCATACTCCCTGTCTGGTACAGACAGGGAACTCTATCCTGCCCACACCCTCACTTAAGTAAATCCACACTGCACTCAGTACAGGGACATCAGAAGTGCTCCTCACATTTCATAGTCAACAATTCTGTTGATGAGGCAAAAAAGGGAACAAACTAAAAGGTTTTTAGATTTATTCTGGTTTTAGGTCCATAAGGAAGTATAAACAGATTTATCTTGGCATTTACAGCATACCAAAACTGACAAGGCTGCAGTACTGAATGAGGAAATAGTGTATTGATAAACTCACCTCTCAAACAAGAATTGAAGTTTTAATACATTTAAACTGTTTGGCTTTGCTACTCATCACATCTTATACAGATAGTCATGCTTCTTTTTAAGGCACATATTTCAGCAAGTGATTTTGATATTATATTAATGACAGACAACAGATACTCAACTCACAACTTTTAAAATTCTCCTTATTGTGCAACTGTTATGTAATTGCCCGTCTACTTTGACAAAGAGTGAATTTTATATCAACAGTTCAAAGGATTTTTAGCCTTGTAAAATTTTAATCTATCCACAAGACTGTCCCTGCAAACATTAAAGCAGATGTTTAGAGCACAAGAGTAGACCTGTTGAAATGAGTATGCATGATTGCTGCTAACCTCTATACGCAGTCCTACAAATATTACAATTACGTCATAAGATTCACTCTACACAGAGCTTTGAAATTCTGCCCTACTAAGCCAGGAAGAATGTTTGCTGTCTGATTCTTGACTAGTTAGAAATCTGTTTGAGATTAATATAAACTATTATTGGGGGAGAAGGAAGAGGAACAGATAAAGAAACCCACAACAATAGAACAAGAGAAATCTGAAGCTGCAGTACACAAAAAACCAAACATTTAAAACTGTTTACAGCAGTCAAATGTATTCCCCTACTTGGCATAACATTTGTTGCACGTTTCCAAGTCTGCTCATTTGTTTATTTTAAGCACTCGCAATTGGAGCATACATGACAAAAATGCATCCCTATGTGCTATCCAGAGCACTAGGAGGCACTGTCATTCTGTGCCTTCCCTACTACTGTTACACCCCTCACAGGTAGTATCCCAGAATCAATCATATTTCCTAGGATTGCTCCCATTTTCCAGAACAACCCAGCTTCATCCAACACACACTGTATTGTATTATACTTTGATTAAATAAATGTTGATATTACATGTTACTGAATGTTTGGACCTAAATCAGTTGATGTGTTGAATGCACTGTGGATTTTAACTCTTATCACTTGTCACAGTCAGCAGACTAGGTTAAACCAAGGACTGACTTCAGTAGAGGGTATCTCAACTGAAGCAAAATGGTAGCAGAGGTTTGAAGAGATTTTTTCATAATGTACACCTGAATACATGTAGACTGCATTGTGGCTTCAGGGAAAAAATTAGAACATATGCATTCCCGTGAAAAACATATTCCCTAGAAATAAGAGTTCTAGGAAACATATCTGAAAATCCACATCTTAAGATGCAAAAATCAAAGCTCCTTGAATACTGAAATGGTCCCAAATTCAAACAAAGGGTGTCCATATTCACATACTGGTTTGGATCACAAACATCCCCACTTATCCCAGTTTGCTTTCCACTAAAGATTTATCACAGAGAGGAAAAACTTTCAGATGCAGTTAAACTGGAAGAGGTATCCCAGTTTGCTTTCCACTAAAGATTTGTCACAGAGAGGACAAACTTTCAGGTGCAGTTAAACTGGAAGAGGCGCTCCAGAGGCACACATGGTGCAGCTGCTAATGGGAATTCAGTTCATGGTACCAAGCTGAAGTGACTCCATAGGAAACCTCCTCTGAAACATAGTACAACACAAACATCAGGTCCTTGGCACACACCTGTGTTTTATGAATCTGTTACAAATGGTCCACACTACCTGCTAATGCAATCATGCTCAAAGTGGAGCAGTTGTAACAGGCTTGGCTTAGGGTGGTAAAAAAGAACCTATGGTTCTTACTATTTTTTATCGTAATATGTCCTGAAGCAGTAACTATGTGCAGGAGATGTTCTTTAAACACAGCAACCTTGATTACCTCAAGTATTACAGTTTTCAGTCTGATGCAACATGCTAAAGTTTGTGTTGTAACATGGCCTGGAACCAAAAGATGAAAATTTGATTAAAAAATACAGTAGAAGTCCTTCTGTATTTTTAAGATGCTGTGTATAAGGAGTCATGCATACCTTTAAAATAATCTGGTCCATTTTTTTCTCTGTAGCTCTTCTTCACACCATCACTACCACTGCAGTGAGAAAATACTCTTTTCCATCTTCTCACTATGTCAAAATGAGACTAACCTATACTAATCAAACAAGTGAACCCTTCCAGAGCTGTAGATCCAAAGAATTGGATCAAATTATGTTCCATACTCTGCTGATACTTAGAGACTTCAATGGCAAACAACCTACAGAAATTCTTGCAACAATGCAACAAGGGCTAACTACATTTGTGAAAGCCTTTTTTTCAGTTAGTCTGTGAAAGCTGTTGAAAATAATTTACTTATTTGATTTGTACTCTGAAGAAAAAAGCATAAAAATCATCAGCTGATCACAGATGACTCTGCCATCCACAAGGTTTAAAAAATGAACATTGAATTCTACCCTTGCTGAGGTTTTTTGCATTCATCCATTGGGGGTTTTCCTTCCAATTTATTCTTCTTAAAGGGGGAAGGGAAAAAAAACTTGGACTACATGAGTATAAAATAGATAAGAGTTTGGCTTGAACAGTGCATTCCTTCAACGGAATGTGGTATCTCCATGATAAATATGCATAAACTTAGCAGTTTCCTCTACTAACATGTTACTTAACCCTCTTTTTGCATTAGACTCTAATTTAATGCCCGTATTATTTGGTATTCTATTGTCTTCTAGTTTCTGACACATTGTCATTACACAATACTAGTTTACACCTTGCATAATCCCTGCTTGTGGGTTAATATAGTCTATTCAACACTTTAAAAACAGTAAACAAAATCAGCTCAGCTATGCAGCAAAATCTACCAAACCACACAGATGGTTATAAGCTTTTCATTGTGTGGTTTCCATAGCAATCATATTGCAAATCTGGAAGCTTCTTGCAAATAAGCAGCTTGTATTTACATGCCTCTCGGCTGCAGCATGGAACTCTACAGCATGTGAAGTTATTATTCCAATCACATATTGTTAGCAAAATCATTGGAAGATGTTTTGATCAGTTCAGATAAAAACTACTCCAGTGAAGTAATTTTTCATCTATTTCATGATGATACAAGCAATCACACACTTGTAATGCACATTCATGTATCTTCATTTGAAATCTCACTGTGGTGTCGGAAGGTTATAAGTAAACACACAGGTCTTGTAAGACAGACCTCCCAAAAAACACTTGGATTATTAAATAATCAATTTTTTAAAAAAACAACCATAGTGTCTTTACTATTGTACTAGGCAGGGAGGACAGATGCATAAAAAAAAATAAAAGGTGTGTACATTAACTCTGCTGACACTGAATGTTACAGGTCTACATTGCCTTGCACAAGAAAAAGCAAAGGATACAGTGGTATGTGAACACCACAAGTACTACTCCTTCATGCTGCTTTTTTGTTCCCAAAGAACTTTGGAACCTGAACAAATGCTTACTGTGGAAAAGAGGCAAGACTTTTTCTCTCCCAGATTTGTAATTTTATGAATTGACCCACCCCCATAACAGATGGGTTATTACTCTTATAAGGAACATAAATCAACCCAACTCTACATTTTTTTAAAAACATCAGTGAGGACTGGCTTTTAAGAAACAAGATTATTTGTTCAGAGAGACATTTAATATTTCCAGAAGAGGAGCAATAAGCACACAAAAATTAAGAGCAAAATTTTTTGCATAATTTGGCCAAACTGACACCTTCTGATAGCATTAGTAGTGAGGGCTAGTAATTATCTAGGGTCAAAGGAATAAGTATTAATGTCCTGTTTTATGCAGGGCCAGCAAGTGGCCTTACCTGAGAACAGTGCTCACCAGCTTTGGGGATTGGGTCATCTGCAGTATTCTTACTACACACCTGTACATGCCTATACACTTCACCCAAACTCTTAGAGGTTTTAGCCTAAGCAGCTTGATAGCCCAGAAATCCTCCATGTGCTGTTTTATCCTAGGCTTACTTGCCTTGGTGTGCATATTTATAATGGCAGGGATTTTCATACCTGGTGTCTTCTTTTAGCCTTCAGATCCACCCATTCTATACAGAGAGATCTCCAAATTCAATGAGCAAAACTCTGGCTTTGATAATCCTTACATAATCCCAGAGCTCTGTCCCTT